AAATCTCAGGTCTAAATATATACTTATAACCAATCAGAATAACTAAATTTCTCAGGATGGAGGGAGGGGGGTGAGCTCTATAGTAAATTGATCTCAGCTAATATCTGACACGTCCCTAACAGGATCATCAATGATTGGCTTAAACACTTAATGATATTGGGATCCTGTAATTGGATTTTAATAATTTTAGGTTCAATAGAATCAACTCAATGAGACGGTTATTGGTAATAAAATCATCCAAAATTAACCAGTGGATCAAAAGTTATTCTCTTTCTAAGATATAAATAAAAGTAATTATTACTTCTGATTGTATACTATTTTATTTCACATGACTGGACTATTATTGGACTAAATTATCTAAATCCAGCTATCAACAGTCCAATGGGCTGGACTACATGTTCCAGTGGACTGGACTAGTCCAAGTGACAACCCTGATTACTAGGTAATGCGTAGCAATGATCATCATGTATTCAACCAATCAGCATCACGGAAGCGGTCAGACGGACAACTCCACGTGATCTCGACGATCACTTAGTCGTAAAAACAGTGTCCTCCGCTTCGCTCCGGACAATTACTTACCCTAACGGCCCTCCTGAAAGGACTAATCTTTCCAAATCTAAACCACTCATTAGCACATATACACCTTTACCTTCAGCTCCCAAAACATTTGTAGCTATAATGCCAAAAAATGTCATATTATGTCCAATAGCTTTTTCCTATTAAAAAGGAAATAAAAGCTTACCTGGAATTTCACAATCTTCGAAAACAAGCTCACAAGTATTAGATCCACGCATTCCAAGCTTATCAAGTTTTTGCGCAGTTGAGAATCCTTTGAAACCCTAATCCATAATCAGTAATACAAAGATATTTACATTTGATATCTTGATAGGATTGATGTGTTTAAAAAAAAAATTAACACGCACTTTCTCTACTAAAAAAGCAGTGATACCGTGTGAACCTGCTTTTGGGTCCGTCTTAGCGTAGACAACTAGAACATTTGCATCAGGGCCGTTCGTTATCCACATTTTATTCCCATTAAGAACATATTTATCCCCCTTTTTCTCAGCACGTAAGCGCATTGATACCACATCCGAACCAGAACCTGATTCTGACATGGCAAGTGCACCCACATATTCGCCTGATATAAGCTTATTAATCAAAATATAATCATAAATAAATAAATAAAAAGTATGAGGGAGTAATAGCAAAGAGAAAAATTTTTTCAATAAAATTTTTTTGAAATTTTTATTTTAATTCTACATAGTTATAGAATTAAAATTGTCTCTTTCTACTGACTCCCTCCATATAATCTCATAGGGCCCTTAAAAGAAATAATACCTTTGGCAGGTATTTTTGTTTCTGCTCTTCATTTCCATTTCGAACGATTTGATTAACACAAAGATTAGAATGTGCTCCATATGAAAGTGCGACAGATCCGGATGCTCGTGATATTTCCTCCATAACAAATGTATGTTCTAGATAGCCTAAATTTAGTCCACCATATTTTTCAGGAGCGGTGATACCCAATAGACCCATTTTTCCGAATTTTTTCCACATATCCTACAAGTATCAAAACGCGTATCTGGTTCAATTATCATGCAGTCTGAAAGAAATTTTCAAGCAATTTTATTAATTCTAAATCACCATTGGAAAAGAATTCTCTTTATCTATAACAGCCGCGCGAGGTGCGAGTTCTTTTTGGCAAAAATTATAAACCATTTCACGCAACTAAATTAGAATAAAGATCGTGTGTTACTAAGTAGTTACTTAGAAAGTCAACGATGCCGAAATGCTAAGGTACCTCATTTTGTTCTTGTGTCAGACCGGCAACATATGCGTTATAAGTAGAGACAAAAGAACGTTGGGTCTTGAATACATTTGATCCCTAAAAAATATAGGTTAAACTAAAATTACTTGTAAAATATAAAAATAATTAAAGCCTTACCACACTTTTTTTTATTAAAAATGTCGTGTCATTTCTGGTTTGTGATGTTATTTTTGTGATTAAAGACCGCAACATTTTATTTTCGTTTTACGATATGATTCAAGCGTCAAACTTAATATACGTACTGTACCTTATAACAGACAGACGCAGCAGAATGGATTATGTATTACGGCATTACCAATCAAAAATTATTACAGCCGTGGAAAGATGCAGATCAGGGACCCGTAAAAATTATTTGGATTATTATGTATAAATTTGGATAATATTTTTTATCAATATTAAAATTACAAACTTAGCAAAAATTAATATAAAGCATAAAATTTTATCTATTGCTTTATTAAAATATATAACATATTTAGCATTTTAAAAGATTCAAGACTCAAATTATGTCTATTATCTTGTAAAATATTATTATAAACTGAGAAACTACATTCTACACTACATGAAGAAAT